GGGCAGTGTCAACCAGGATGGTTTGCTTTCTTGAGTCCATTCAGTTTGCCAGTGCTGAGTTTGAAACATGTGTTTTTGTTTTAACGTAGGCCCAACAATGTCCATTGTCTGAAGGGAACATGGCGGGGGTATTGAATATACGGTATGTTTGGCACCCGTGCCATTCCAACACTCTAGACTCACCATATTTGCCGATTGCAGTCACTTTTTTCCCAGGCCCCCAAATACCAAATGTTTAGCCAGTTTAGCCAAATGTTTGGAAACCATTAGAAACCAACATTTTGATTCGGTGGCATCACAAGGCACATGGGTCAATATATATATATATATTAAATATAAAATATACATATAGAGACAGTATATTTATTCATGTATACTGTACTGTATATGTTCTCTTTTTGTGTTCCTTCTTTCCCACCTGTGCTCCTCCTGTTCTGAGTTCAAGTATCCAAAGTCAGTGGTTTCAAATGTTTCAATAGAAATGCCCTAAAAATCAAATCAAAAGATCCAGCACGTCCCAGATTGACACTGCTGGTAGGCCCAAATTTTGTTTTCCGCTTCTCATTGCGTCCTTCGTCGGTGACGGTCGGCCAAATTGGCCGTCATATCCGTCACCGGAGAAACGCCTTGCGCAACACCTGCGAAGTTCCTGCGTTTTTGGTCGAACAGAAGTGCATCCTCCGACTATCCCCATAGGTTTAGGATTGTTTTTTCTTTTTTGTTATATACATTACACAGATTACACATGTGTTTTCAGGATACTGTTTGCACTATAAACATGGCTCCATGTCTCCATGATAGTGGGTCAATGGTCAGATTCGCTGATGCGACCAATTCTTACAAGGGACGGGTGGGCATGGAAGGGGCACCTGTAAAGTCGCCGGTGTTTGGCCACTTCCTTGTCTGAAGCCAATGGTCAACTGCTGGTTTCCATCAAGGTTCGGATTCCCGACATCCGAGGAATCCGCGAAGATTCCCATCATTAAGCAGCAGAATCAGAGCCTTTTGTTTTTCGGATCCCATTCAAACAAAACAACAACACATGATCAACGCCACCACCTGAAACTATTGGCTTTTCAGTGTGAGCTCAAGCTTCGGCCGGAATTGGTATCTTGGGTGTCCCTGCGGTGGAGCAAAACTTGGAAAAGCCAGCGAGTGTGGGACCAGAAGTGGTCCAACAGCCCTCATAAGGCCTGTAGCTTGCTAACATAGTTTGCTTTCAGAGATTTAGCCCAGAAGATTACAAGAGTTTCAGTTGTTTCAACTATTGACTAAACAACACTTTGAAAAGTTTACGAAATGAGTAGATCTAGCCTCAGTTGCAAAGTTGAATGACTTTGCAAAGCGCACTGAATTATTCTGACTGTTCTGGATGTTTATTGACATTTCTTGCAGATTTGTGTAACCTGTTTCATCCAGTCATGCGGTATCTGGAGCAGAGTGACAGTCACATCAAAGAAGCTTTGTTTGTAGCTTTAGACTGTATTCTTCATTTTTGTTTGTTCATAGATGTCAATATATCTAATCTTGTATGTACTGGTCCAGAAGGCTACAGATGCCTACAGTATCCTAGATGCACATCATAACAGATCTAACCTGAACTTCCCTTGGCAAATGTCCGTGTCTTACTGTTTGATTTATTCTAAAATGCCAGGGCTGTACATCTTCACCACATAGGAGCAAAATCCTATTTTCTTGGAGCAACATTTCTTTTCAAACTTGGGAGCATAGTGAACAATCCCAACTAAGGCTATTTGCAATGATGAACAGGACAAGTTGGGGAGTGACTATGGCTTTGTGGATCCCACTCGAGGCTTTTCTCAGGATCCAACATTGATCCCGTTCCCCCCAAATTCACCCTAACGAAACCTTGATTTAGGCATTCCAGTCATGGTATTACATATATTATATAATATATATATATAGTCTGAAGGGGGATGGGATCAATTGATAATATCACCCTCCAGTAATCAAGTAATCAAATATGGCTTGCTGTGAAACATTTCCCATCCAGCTTGATGAGTTTCCCAGATATGAACCTCTACATATGATATTTGTAGGAGATGTCAATTCCAATTAGATAAATGTATAAACATAATGTATAAACCATGTTTCTGGATTCTGTGGTTTGAAGTGGATTATTCCAACGAAATTCTCAGAACTTCTAAGCCCAAAGTCCCCAAGTCCCTCGCTGACTCGCGACTGAGATGCGCATCCAACGCTTCTGGCTGCGAATCAGGAAGCGGCTTTCATCGCCCTGAATGTGAGAGGTGGAATTTATTCGTCTATTTATATATACAATTACAATCATATCTATTACACAAAAAATCTTCATCATTGCTACAGAGTACTAACGAATCATATCCATGAAGGGTATGCTTGGCGGTTTCATGATATCTTGAATTTCCTCATCCCAAGGGCTGACGTGTTTCAAGATGGACACCTCTGGCCAGTTGGCTATGGTGAATATCGTAATTTACCCTGACTATGGATTTGTTCCTTGGACCACTTTTGTAGTGGCACACTCTTCAAATTCCTTGGAGCTACTGTGGATATGGTTGCGACATCCTGCAGTTCCTGCACCACCATCGATGGTTCACACCCTACAAATCATGGGATAAACCACCAGTCAACTGGTGCAGGATTTCGCAACCACAGTAGGACAGCGACCCTCTGGGTATGACGAACAGTTCGCCATGGTTTGTTGATGGCCCATAGAAATAGATGGTTTACCTATTAAACATGGGTGGATCTTTCCATGGCTATGTTAAATAACCAGATGGTAGATTGTAGATAATTATGTTCTACCAACCACTACTATGTTTCGATGGGATCTTGCTATTTTCATCTAGTTTTTGCATCTTTCTGGGTGTCGCTACATATATCTTCCCAGTTCAACGTCGGCTGGGAACCGTCGATGCAGGATGATGCGCAAGGCCTTCGTCCGGGTGCTGATGCCTGTGTGGAGCAAGTGTGAAACGGAGGCGGGACATGGCGGGATGTTCCGGGGATTCCTGGGATTCTTTGGCGAGTGTGGTGGAGTTCGGAATTTACTATGGGATATGGAGACATGTTTTTTTTAAATGTTTTTTTGGACTGCATGTTTCTGACAAGGATGTTTATGGTGATAGTCTTTGGTGCTTGTCACGTCTTAAAAAAGCCACGGCAACGACATCATTGATCCCGCAGATCTGCATGGCCCGGCTCGCAACGACGCCATTACAGCCATTTCGATCCATTTCGACTGACCTCTTGAAACTTGGGCGTTTGCTGAAGACACTTGAAATTATCACAGGACATTATGAAAACGAAAGAGAAGAAACGTCTTAGCAAGTCAGAGGACCGGCACATGAATGCAGACCCCAAAATCGAAGTGAAGCTGCTCCGTTCGCAGAGTGGCCAAGTGATTTTCTTGGAAACCGGAAGGGACTTTGTTGAACTGCTGTTTGCCATCATGAATGCACCTCTGTCACGTCTTATTTCCAACTCCAGTAGCAAAGGTGTGCAGAATGATCTTCATCCATTCCTGGACTTGAAGGAATCCTTGCAGAACTTGGGACCTCAATCTTTTACGTCTGGAAAAGATGGTGCTGCGTTCATACCAAAGACCTGCACCACAAAGGACTTGAGGGACTGGGCCAAAGAAAAGGCCAAAGCTTCATCAAATCCCAAGGAGCACCAGATTGTGCCTTACTATGGCCGAGTTCAGTCACAGAAGGACCATTCTCTTGGGCCATTGGGGCCATTCATCTTGAAGGACAACTGCAAATTCATGGTGACCGACTCCTTGAAGGTTTTGGAGTCTTCCACAATTACAGCCCTTGACCTGATGAAGGATCATGTCGAGGATTTCCGCAGCATCAAGACCTCAGCTCAGGCTGTGACTCCCAAAATTCTGCGGAAGCTGGTCCTGCGCAGCATGCTGGGATCCAAAACAGTGCTCACAGACATCTTCCCGGATGGCGTGGAGTCTGACGATGATTGGTGGACGGTTGATCCACCAGACAAGAGGCCGAGAACCAGGGAAAGCTAAATGATGATGCTTCAAAAATGCTCCAAATTAGACCCAACATGGACGAATATGGCCCAATTTGATCCCATTTCAGATCGCCGCAGTTCATCCGATTTCAAGATTTAGTGCTGGAATCGCACAGAGCTGCATGCAACAAACATGCAGGAATCCCAGAAGATTTGACACTGTTATGTTTCCACATAACCAGCCGCTACAGATTACATGCACCCCCCAATTGAACATGGAACCTGAAATTTGGGTTGATGCCTGATGATTCCATAAGATTTTTACTTATAATTAAGATTACTTAACTTGCTTTTTCACTTTTCTGGTTCCCGGTTGATTTCAGGGGTCAGACTCAAACCCTTTTATAGAGAGCCAGGACAACAACAGGTCCTGGTTCAATGCATGTGTCAATCGTCTTCCGCAACTGCCTCCACAGAGCGTTGCAGACACATGCCGATGAGAAAAATGTCGCACCAACCATTGCAATTATGCTGGTTGGGCAAAACTCCGGTCACTGGCAGTGGGGTCAGGGTCCCTAAGGCCCTAAGGCTTGACAGTTAATAGGTACAAGAACTCTACAATAATGAGCACCTGCTTCTTGTCCTTGAAGCCATAATCCCCGTAAACTCCTGTAGGCAACCCATCAATAAACATCGACTATAAATCAATCAAGATATCTAAAATCAACACCCATCACCGTGGATGAACTATCAAGCTTTCAATTTTTGGATCTTATAGGAAAATTGAATTGCAAACAGGATACCCATCGTATTTATATGGTAAACTACCCATTTGTGCGAGTCAGAACTGGCATTTCTCGAGGTTTTCTGCTGCACCCCCACATCCCCTATATTTTTTTGCAGCTTTTTGGGGAGATCACTCGCTGATCCTCCAGGTTTACGAGATCTACGAGAAGGACCAAGAAGCCGCCCGCGCGGCGGCCGCCAAGGCGTCGGAAGATGGAGATGGTGAAGAACGGCCCATGCAGAATGACAAATTCGAGATTTATCATGCTTGATTGGGTTTTGCTTCATTTTGAGATGTGAACATGATTGAACATGATTGAAAATGATTGAAAATGATTGAACATAATTGAACATGATTGAACATATTTGAAAATGATTGAAAATTTTTGAAAATATTTGAAAATGATTGAACAATATTGAACATGATTGAAAATTAGATTGAACTGATTGAACATGATTGAACATGATTGAACAATATTGAACATGATTGAAAATGATTGAACATGATTGAACATGATTGAACAATATTGAACATGATTGAAAATTAGATTGAACTGATTGAACATGATTGAAAATAATTGAACAATATTGAACATGATTGAAAATGATTGAACATGATTGAACAATATTGCGCATGATTGAAAATTAGATTGAACTGATTGAACATGATTGAAAATGATTGAACGTGCTAACATCCTGGGGACCAATTTTATCCACTTTTCGGACAAACTGAATGTGCCAAGAGCAAGTTATCTTAGGTGATCCTTTTTCCTGATAGAACTGACATGAACTGACATGAACTGATCCATCAATCAAATATATCAGATTTATTCGTTGGTGATCCCATTCGCATGCAGATTGTGGAAGTGAGGAACCAGGCCCTCCACGTGGATTATCCAGGATTCCAGGATCGAACAAATTCACGTCACCCTTTAGCAAAGGTTTTTTTTCGGCAAAGGATGGCTACACATGTTATAAAGGATGAATTCGGATCTGGGGAAATTAGGAGTACAAGAATTAGCATCTGGTTATTTGTGCCATAGCCATGGAAAATCACCATGCTATTAATAGGTAAACCATCTATTTTTTTTGGCCATTTTCCATGGCTACGTTGAATAACCAGATAGTATAAAGGATGGCTGCCCTCAAACAATCTCACCTCAACAAAATCCACCATGTGTAGATGATGTTCCTATTGAAACCGCTTTAATACTAGGATTGACATAATATAAATACTGATGATATGAATACTCTTGGTAAACTTATAACATTAGCAATCTAACACAGCTACGGACACTTTCCCATTTGTAACATGAATTGCATATGACACATTGCCATGTTCCATGGCTACGCAGGGGGTAATCACCATGACGAAGTCCAGGCGCAAGATGAGAAGTTTGCTGCACTGGAAGGTGCGGCACAAGACCAATCTGAGGGATCCTTCCGACCTTGGAAATTGTTGGCCAGAACCATTCATTTTTCTTACTGTAGCGATCATAGTGTTAAGATGTGTTAATTGGTTTTATGTTAACACTATGTTAATAGGTTTAATTGATAATAATTGGTGTTAATTGGTTAATTGCCTTTTGATCCCAGTCTTGCTACCTTGCGGTCGTCGCGAATCATTTTCAACGTCCGGGACATGCTTGAGATCCCGAGCATTTTACCCGTCTCTGACCGGGGCCATATTTTTGCATCGAAGATGCGCCTGAGTCTTGGCAACGAACAAATGAAGCAAAGATCAATCAGTCTGTATTACAAACTGTCTTCAATATTCAGTCATCAATGATTTCATCAATGATTTTTCAACATCATATACTGTATATAAATAATAGATATACATACATATAGTATCATATAGTGTATATATATATATATAATTTCTCCCTTATTTAAACATGTGTTTGAAAAGACCTTGGGGCCTTTTCACCAGCATTGCAGACAGCACGATGAAAATCTGGCGGGCCAGGCTTGTTGATGGAGGAGAAAAGACCCTCCAAGTCGAAAGACAAAGGTGCGCCACAGCCACAAGATGCCACAAGACATGCCGAAATCTGGATGAATCTACTTGGATGAAGTGAAATCATAGAAGCTCAAAATAGATCCAATATGATTCAATGCAGCTACAGCTACACCCTAAATGAGCATCAGATGGAACAGATCTAGCCTAGCTGAGTTTGTCTAGGAATACGGTAGTTGAATATGGCAACTGAATTGTCCTCATTAAAATCCCAGAAATTGGGAGTAAATGCTCCTTTTTTTGGATATACATACATTGTGGATTCATTCTATATAAGTGCCATATCAGTTATCAGATTGTCATTATATTTGCCGCATCATTTGCCGCACTGTATTATCAGTATAGTATATAGATGTATATAGCACCCCCCCAAAAAAAAACAGAGACCACTTCAATTTACCTCGGTGTGTTTTGGTATGATGGTATTTAATCTTTTTGCGGCTAAACAGTCAACATATCAGAATATTTCAGCTCTATCCCGGCATCGCCAGCACCTGTTCAAACTCGGCAGGTGCCACGGACAAGAGCAAGTTGGAGAGTCGCTTCGATTCCAAGGCCGGAAGGTCCCAGGGATCATCATCCTTGCGCCCGGATTTCTGAAACATCCCCTGGGTCATGTAGAATTTCCCTACATCCATCCACCATGATTTCGTTTAGGGCTTCATATTAGGGGGAGATTCATATTTGATATCCAATGAACATGACCATTTACAACCCATTCATGTCCATTAATTCAGTTGGATTCATGGCTGCGCATATTTACGACGGGATGTTTAAGATCCAGGCTTGAGTTTGCTGATCTAAAATTGGAATGATATGAAGTTTAATCAGTCTGAAATCCTCAACGAAACATTTAAGACATATATAATTATATATAATATATAAATAGATGCAACACACCCTCCAGGAATCAAACATGGCAATGGAAGATCCTTTATTTATATATAGATGAGATTCCCAGTAAGACCTCCATTTAGCTCGGAGATTTCCCAGCCAGATCCAGGGTCGAACTCTGGATCTGTCTTTGGAATCGAGTGCCAAAGGTGACCGTGGATTCCCTTGGTGTTTCGGATCCCAAATATTGACACACCCCGTTTACATCCCGTTCGCAGAGGGCCCATGTTTTGAGTCCGCAAACAGTGCCCCCCCTTTCAGGACTCCTCGAAGAAAAGGCCAGCAAGCTGGTGTTTTGTGGCATACAGACTCTGTTTGTTTTTCTACATGAAAAAAATACACTCAAAAAAGATCAACGATGTGATGAAACTTGTGGTTCTGTGAAAGGTTTACATCCAAAATTCTTGGGATTTCCCATGGATTTCCTGTACCGAAATCTCTCAGACTTTTCCGGGGACACCAGCTGGGGTCAACATCTGCCAGGATTCGTACCATGCCATCCCTGACGCGGGCGTGGAAACCCAGCAACAAACTCTGGGTACATGGAATGCCATGGACCAGAAATGGACCAGTCAGATCAACTCTTCTGGTGGTTTGGAACCATGGAATTTCATGACTGTCCATTCAGTTGGGAAGAACATCATCCCAACTGACTTTCACTCCATCATTTTTCAGAGGGGTAGGGCTCAACCACCAACCAGATAACATGATTAACCATCATTAACCATATAATAACCATATATTAACCATATATTAACCATCACTATAGGGGTAGGTATACCACCAACCAGTCTTAGTGTTTCTTCAGCGATATGCATCGGGTGCAGAGCTCTGAAGCCCTGGGTGAAACCCAGAATCAGCTGCCGCCTTGGCTCATCTTTGACACGGTAAAACGCCGTGGCTATTTGATGTTATGTATGGTATATATGGTATTGATATAGTCATTTTGATAGTTTATATATATATATATGTCATGTATGCACAGTATGATATATCTATTTAGTACGATCTCTTCGATCGTGGGCATTGCCTCGATCAAATGGATGGGAATCTGTTCCCCAGAATGATACAACTTGATACCCTCTGGTAAACTAACATAACTATGGGAAATCACCATTTTCAATGGGAAAATCCACTATAAATGGTCATTTTCAATAGCTATGTTAAATTACCAGAGGGTACAACCAATGAACCCCCCTGGTGGAATATATCGGATCTTTTCATGACCTGGGCTTCCATATTGGGGCTATTGAATATGAAGGGGATGGGAATAGGAAGTGGTCAAACTTGATTCCTGCGATCTAAGGCCTATATAGATGATGAAATCTGGTTAATTCTGGGTAATTAAACCATATTTGGAGTACCCAAGTTTGACTAAATTGTGGGTATAGTTGTATCCTCCTGTTTCTTTTTGGTTTAATCTTTAGCTCTGCAGCTGACTGCTTCCCTGTTTGAAGCTCTTTGTATGACTGTTTCTGCTTTTTGACGAGGCCAGCGTTTCGCAGACCACTCCTGGTGTGGATGAATTCGACGAACCCTTGCTGGAGGGCTCAGCCTGAGATAATCCTTGCTTTGTTGCCATAAGGCAAGTGGTTAGGAAATTTAGGACGTGGGTTATAAGTGGGTTATAAACCCAGCCCGTTGATAGCTGGTATATGCTGGTATATTAATTGGGATATACACCAGTTACTAAGCACTTAGCTAATTCTGGTAAGATCTGCGTGTAGTGGTTGGTCCAAACAGCGAAACTGGTGGGTTGAACCAAAACAATCATGAATCATAAGCAACAATATCCAGCAATCAACACGTGTTCATAATCAACAAGAATCTGTATGTAGAATTGTATAGATAAGCAGAATGGGTATCCCCAGAAATGGGTCATATCAATCCCACTCCTGTGAATCGTCGATCCGCCCGACCTATCTCAGCAGGTGAGCCACCAAAGATTCCATTCGTTGGTTAAAACCAGGGAATTGACGTCACCACGCACCATGGGTTTCTTACCACCCATTAGGGTTGGCTTGCTAAACGATTACGGCATACTATTACCCTCAGTATGAATTCTGAAACATGTAGTTGGATCATTCACCAACCAAGGTTCGTATTCACTAAAATTCACACTTTGCCATTGAGTAACCATAGGTAACCATTAATATCGCTAAAATACAAACTATGCGCTAATATCATACGCAATTCTATATAGTGAACCAGGTAATTTAAGTACATTAATCTTGGGTGAACTACGATACCATTTTGTTCACTATCATTGTTCAATGGATTGGTGGGTAAAATCTACAGGAATCTGCTCCCATTTCATGGGAAGATCCATGGTTTCTGGTTCAGATTTTTCCTTGAAAATAATTGGAAAATCATTGGAAAATCACTGGTTTCCATTGGAAAATCCATAGTTCATTGGAAAATCATTGGAAAATCCATGGTTTTCCATTGAAAATCCCTTGAAAAATCCATGGTTCACCAAGGCCTCTCTATGTGGCGGATCTGGCGTTGTACCACCAAATCGCTTTGATGCAACGCACCTTCCCCGTGCGTTTGAGTCGCTGGGGAGAGTCCATGCAACAGGCTCAGGCACGGCCTGCGGATCCTGCGGCCTGGTGCATGTTTTTTTTTCCCGAAATTGGGTGTTCATCAGTTCATCATCAGGTCCATTGTTTTCCAATGTGTTTTTTTTGCATCAAGATTAGAGAGTCGTAAAACTCTATCTTAAGCCTCAATGTACTGGTGAAACAATGGTACATTCAAAGATCTGTATGTTTACTATCAAGGTAGGTGCAAATACTGAGAGAACACGAGGGAAGTACTTGCAAAAATATTCAGTGTACTATGTCCAACAGTCCAACCATGTCCAAAACTAGTAGATACACTGAGCTGAAACTTAATCACAATCACTCATACCACGCCAGTTACGCAACTACACCTTCTGGTTGGTGGTTTGGAACATGTTTTTTTCCCCCATATATTGGGAATAATCATCCCAACTGATTAATATTTTCAGAGGGATTGAAACCACCAAACAGCCTTCAGTTTTGAGTCTTTTGGACCAGGGGGAAACCGGATTCAGAAGTGGTTCAGGCACGACAGACCATCGGAGAAAAGGCTCAATGTGCCAAGTCCCACATTTTTTACGTGTGTTTTCTAAGCGTCCATTTATAGGTTATCCATGGTTATCCCATTTATAAGTGGATCTATTTTACCTGTGATAGATATAGAGCTTGTATAGATCGTATGTCTTATAATATAACTAATAGATGTTGTTTTATAAAACCCTTATAGGTTTTATAGATCTTATAGCCTCAGCGGTTAGGATCATCTTGATCATCCCTCCCAGCGAGGACAACGCGGACGTGGAGAAATTCGTGAAGTCGACAGTGGGGGCACCACGGTTTCATCGTTGATTCAATGAGAATTTAAGATGGGATGGATATGATGGATATGATGCATATATATATATATATACAGTATATGTATGTATTATGTATGTATATATGGTAAAATGAATAGTTACCCGGATCTATCCATATTTATCAATATTTCATCATTTGCCATTCCTTTTTTGACCGTCAAACCTGAAGATATGATGGATAAATATAGATTATGATGAATTGTGGTTGATCATGATAGGGAGTGACACTACTCTGTATATTTTGGCAATGATCATAGTCCGTTATAAGGGAATCAGCATCCACCAGCGATTGTATATCATTTGTTACTTGTATTATTTCAATACGTGGGCCAGGAGAATACCCAATCGTTGATTGATGATTAGTGGGTTCTACCCCGTGGCCTAATAGGGCCGGTGAAACACATAAATTGATCTTGGCTTAGGAATACCGAACTTGACCGACCGGTACAATGGGATGAGATATTGTGAACTTGACCAGCCCAGGTTGCCTTAAAAATTGTGACCCATACCTGTCAGATCAATTCATGTTGGGACATGCTGGCACCAGGGGTTGATGAACTGTCCCCATTTGTTGATTAAACAAATTGGACATCACCACCAGGGGGTTCTTGAAAATGATTCCCAACAAATCATTAGGTGATATTAAAATCAGACATTGTAAAATACCACTATGTGACTATGTGTGTTAACGGCTATCAGTCATTTCTCTATATCAACACGTCATTTGTTTGCATCCATAATATATTATATTATATATGCTAATCAACATTCAAAAAATACTACATTACTACATTCAAAGAACCTATCAAGATTTTATAAAGCGCAGTTTCTTCACAGTACCAGCTAGTTCAGCTAGTTTGTTCTACTATCCACCATGGAAAACCAGCAGTTTCTGCGAAACGTGGACGGCTCAGGAGGGTGAGAGCAGCAGCATGAAGCAGCTCCGTCTCAGTCGACCCCGGAAGATCTACGTGGACGAGGCCGATCCGGGGAGCGGATGAAACCAGCACCGTGGCACGACAAAACACTGGGATGGTGCCGGAAAATTGCTGGATAATGGATGTTTATGGATGTTTATTCTCCCAAGTTTTGATATCAATAGTAGGTTTTGACCCATCCCTGGGTCGACCCCTCTTTGGAGGTATGAAATTCATGGGAAAATCAATGGGAAAATCGGAAACCAAAGGGTTTTGAGCTATGGGAATGGGTAGCTGTTTACCATTGGTGGGGATGAACGTCCATAAACTGTGATAGAGTGACCTACAGGGCTCTCGGGCCAACCCTTTTGCCAGGGTTTTGGCGATGTGTTGTGTTGTTTTGGAGATGCGAACACCCAACGGTTGGTTGGTTATACCCGGTTACAGGGATTGTGAAATAACCCATGATGGGAGTTCCGATGAATCGACCAGATGGGATGAGGTTTTGGTATTTTCTTATGGCTCACTTGGTAGAATTTTGATATCAGGTCCTCAATGAGCTTTATCATGCTTTATGCATCTCGTTTGATGATTCTTGAACATTATTACCCTCTGGTAAACTAACATAACTATGGAAAATCACCATTTTTAATGGGAAAATCCACTATAAATGGCCATATTCAATAGCTATGTTAAATTACCGGAGGGTAAGGGCTTGGCATGTGAGTTCTGAGTCCTTGCGGTCATGTCAGCTAGGTATGGATAGGTCATCCTGTGGAGAGGTTTCAACATATTCGAATGCCATTTTTAGTCAGTTCATGTCAGTTCTATCGGGACAGGAGATGGTACATTCCTCAACTCATTCCAATTGACCACTTGACTTTCCAGTCACGTTGCCCAGTTTCTTCTGATGTAACTTCGAAGTTTCATTGCTGCTCAGGATGAGATCATGGCCTTGGTCAGGACCAGCCCGGGCTTGGGTGGCCCCCAAAGTTCAGGAACATCGGCTCACAACATGTGGTTGACTGGCAGGTCCAAATCAATTTCTAGAGGTATGTCACAAGTGTCAAAGATACTTCAATTCAATTTCAGTGTTGCCTCCTATAATTACAATTCATTTACTGGATGCGGATAGCTTATGGCTTTTCCGCCAGTCCATGATTCCTGTCATGAATCAACCCACCATTAAGATTGGAAGCAAAAGCATCTCCACTACTAACTAGTACTATTTGCATACGGATTCAGATGACGGAACCATGGGCGGGCAACCAATGGTGCCAAATTGTTGATGCTTTCGGATTTAGGTGGGATGTCCTCAAACGTATCTCCAAAACTATGGCTGGAGGCCTCGTGTAGTGCGTTCCCATAGTTGCAAGACAAATCCTTGGAAGATCTCAAGACGCTCCATTGGATATCATTGGATATTTGTTTTCCCCAGTAAAGTTGACTATGAATGGGTTCAAGGAATTGCTTGCTGGGAAACCTAAATAATCCTATATATATATATATACACATATTAAATCATATTAATAGGATGTTGCACAGCCATCATTCCTCCCTTATTGGACACCCTGTCGGTAGGAGAACAGTTGACTCCTGGCACCTTGGCGGTTTCGTTCACGTGAAGGCGCGCTTTTCATCCGGTCCTGTGACTGGTTCAGAAGGTAACTTGTCGACCTTGCAACCTTCTGCTCATTGAATTTAGCTATGGAAAATGGTCCATTTACAGATGATTTATGATAAATTGCCCAATTACCTCTCAAACATGGTGATTTTTCATGGCTACGTTAAATTACCAGAGGGTAACCTATGGTGAGGTGAAGGGGGGGTGGTTATTCTGGGGTAGCCACTAAGGTGGTTATTTTTGTTCACTTCCCCAGTTCACAAGTGCAATACAACTGTATTCTGTCTGAAGATTTTATGGCTCGTTGATTTTGGGGTTGAAGTTTATCCTTCGTCCCAGATTTGTCAACGTTAACCCCATCGATAAATTCGATGACTCCCTTCTAAATGATGATTTGTGTGGTCCCTCATGGCCAATGATGGATCATTGGATCATTTCAAATTCAGGGGAAATTGGATCGGAACACATCTGTATACGTATAAAATCGTATAAACATGTCAACAAAAACTGAGTAACCCATACTTACATGAAATAGGATTACCATCCCTCCAATTGACACAGACCCTGATGCGGGGGCTGGAAGATTATTGTCGACTAAAAATTGGCTTTTTTTCGATGGGGTATTCCCCTAGTTACAGTTTTTTTGTGACCTTTTGGGTAACTCTTTGGTACCCTTCTCCCACAGGCCAACCGCCTCCGGCTCCTACGTTTCGGCTTTCGAGTGGTGGGCTCAGCATTGGAATACCTGGATTCAGCAAGGGAAATTACTGGCAAACATTGGGATTCACCCATTGAACATTCTTTCACCAAGCCATATGGTGATTTAGCCAGCAAAAAATTGTGAGTTGGCCATAAATATGGTCATTTAACCAGCTCGGCTCATATGATGTTTTTTGATCGGAAATAGTGATTCAACCACATGTTATTAAACTACAAACATGGGGTTGCATTCACCAACCAAACAATTTTGATGGAACTCACCAGCGGAGGATCACTGAAGTAGTCATTCATTGTCATCGCATTTTTGGCTACTCAACGACTTGACCCATGGCCAGATTGCGGGCCGTTGTCAGTGAAGCAATAGGATCCACCATTCCCCATTTTACCATAGATGGGTGCTATAAACACCTATAGAATCTATAAGCCATCAATCCATATGGCTGGTTGATTTTTCCAGTACCACCATGATGTTCACGGACCAAATTTAGCCATTGTTAGAACCTGTCAGACCTTGGCTCAGGCTTTGTATGGAGAGCATCGCATGAAAACGCAAAGTCAAGGCACCTTGGCCATCTGAATTCGAGGCTTTCGATGGCTTTCGTCCATCCACATGCTCCCACTTCCAACGACCTAGCGAGGTCAATGATTGATTGATTAAATTCAACCTGGGGAAAGTATCGCAAGTAGCGAGCTTACTTACAGTAATGACAGGTTGGAGAATTCGGTGATATACTGTAGTGGAATTGATCCGGTCAAACATTGTCAAATAGTTTGTCCCATGAACTACCAGTTTTGTTGGGTCTGGGGCTTCGCTTTTGGGCCCCGTTTGAAACCCCCACCATCCAAAATCGACAGAATGGACAAAAGATACAGTAGATGGACGTTTCGTTTGAGTGGTGATGTTCACTCACCTTAGGATCTTGCGGATCTTCTTTGCCTATAAATGTTTATCCCATCCAGATTTTCATCCCAACGGAACAGGCTTGGCCAATGTGCGGCAACACAGGATGAAGAAGGAGCTGTTCCGTTGGGGGAACGCCGTTAGGATGGGGTGGTTTCATGGGTGAAGCCCACCGATGCGTTTCCGTGTCCATTGTTGAATCAATTTAGACCTAACTTTTCAGATGGCTGGATCATAGTCAAAGACGATCCCCTTGATTGAAGTCCTTCTTGGTCCTTGGGAAGAGCACTGTGCTTCTCCTGGCCGCAGCCAACGAGTAAGTGACTCAGTGGAAGGCTGTCGAGTAGTAGTTGGGACTTGTGTTTTTGTCAGGTAACCCTAAGCCCAACACATTCATGAAGTCCGATGTTTCCCAACTTCAGGATATGTTTATCCGCAATCATCAATCATCATCAAGCCAAAACTGGATGTTTCCAAACAAATCAGTACATCTTATCATCCGCAACCGCGTTGGCTCCACTAGTGTTAAGTTCAGGTCCTTCCCCATGTTCCGCCATGCTTCGGCTGGCCGTGGCATGCTTGGTAGTGGCAGATGGACGACCGACTGCTGCCAGGACTGGGAGTCACTGTCATGGGGATGTCTCGATGCTTCTGGATTTTTAGATAGGGAGAGATGGATTGGATGGATAGATCATTTGATTTGATTATATAAGTTATATTACTGTAGATTATTAGATAATAGGTAGATAAGATACTAGATGATACTAGTGCTTTGCTGAGAATGATGTTACTGTATAGAAGTGACAACAAAGAAGTCAGCGTCAGCGTACCCTTCATCTCCTATCAACGGACCACGGCCCAGGACGTTGCTGAGGGTCGATGACTTCAGGAGTTTGGGAGAGATCAATGTGGGATACAGGGGTCACGTGGAACTCAACTGGGGCTACACATCCGAATTAAATAGGATTTGCCATGTAATCTGGTATTGAACTTAACTCTACTTTTTAGAGATATAGGTAATATTTGGAAACATTCATGATCACGAAGGCAAGATGAGGCAAGGATATCAACAATCAAGGGGATCTATATTGTGTTATCCGTAACCAATAGAATTTACAAATTGGACGGATATGTTTTGTTTTGTTATAACCATCAACAAGCGATTTACAGCACTGTGACCCACACCCAAGTGACAGCCAACACAGAAGGGATTCATAGAGAAACCCTAAATACAGGTGCAGATGGGTGAATGCCCCACAGCCGCCCGCCAATTCATGCCAATTCATCACGTTTGTCTTGTAAAATCCCGATTTGCTTGTAACAAATCCCAGGTTGCGTGGCAAAAAAGCCACTCAGTTGCTTGGGCAGGACTGAACTGCCTCTCTCAGTTGCGCCCAGTACATTGCTTCAGCCTCCAGTGCCTTGAGTTTTGGACGGGCTGGGGGCCTGGGTTAAGGTGAGACACCCAATAAACATATGGAGGTTTCCCAAAATGGGGGTACCCCAAACTGGATGGTTTAAAGTGGACAATCCAAGAATAAAGTGGATGATTTAGGGGTACTGCGATTGGTAGCACTGGGGAGCGTTCCAAGCAAATTCCAGTCTCTCACAAAACTCAGCCAGGCGGTCAAAATGACCAAAGAAATGATGTTCCCTATCCTCAATCGAAATGTGATGCCGACTGCCGGCAAACTCATAGCAAGGCCAACACGACGGCCATTTTCCGATCACAGCGCCACGGTGGCTGCAAGGGGCCCCTTTGGGCATAGATGGCCGCGGCATGTGTGTGTGTGCGGATGGCGAACCTGACCAGTCTGCGGTCAGCGAACACCAGTCCCCTGTCACACAACTGTTTCAAATGCAAAGGACCTGGCAAGAACTCAAGAGCTGGACAAATGACCATGAAAATTCTCAGAATCGCATGGACCAAAAAATTCTTCTGAGTTCTTGCTGGTTCTTGCAAGTTGCATCGCTGGAGATCCACTCACAGCTTTCTCTTTCTGGAGCTCACTATGAACTCTGGATCGAATTTCAGCATCCATCGGCGATGCTTCATGAAGTATGCCAGGCTTTCGCGGCATTCAGGCTTCTTCTTGGTTAAGCCATCAGACAAATTCCAATCACTAGCTAACCAAATCAGCTTCGTGCCACAGTCTGGGAGTGACTGCTTGAGCTGTTCAGCTTGCAAGGCGGCACGAATATTGGAAAGTCCTAAAAGTGGTGACTCATTAATTATGATACTGTCATAGCCACCACGGCTATCTGTACCAAGAAGACCAGGCACTAAACGAACTTCAGCTACGGATGCTGTCAGCAAATCGCGGCTCTCAGAAAGCTTGCCAGCGCCATTCAGTTCAGCCCAAAGTAGCCGGGTGCGGTAGACTGCATCTTCAGTCTCGACCAGGGCTTGCACTTCAGCATCGTTTGAAGAGATGGCCACGCGCTTGAGTTTCCAACTTTTCCAGGCAACTAAAATCATTGGGTTTGGCTTCCCCATGGCTATTTCAGGGCCAGCTAGAAAAACAAGCTTTCCACCAGTTGAACCCCCTCTAGGTCTATTGTTATGTGCTTGGTCCCCCAAACCAACAACACAAACATCTTTCCAAGTTTTGACATGTGGCAGCTTGAAGAACTTGAGCTGAGTGCTATGCTTGCGAAGTCACGCACCAGCTCTTGGATCTCCTGGGCAGTGCGCATCACCGGTGAGCCGGCGAGCTCGGTGATCAGCAAGTTGCAACGCGCGCGGATCAAGGGTTGGGTCTGCACAGCAAGCCACTGCAAAGCTCCCAGAGATGTTCTGCAAGCGCTGATCTCCTTCGGAGTCATAGTTGCATCACCTTGGCAGAAACGTTCAGGTGTGATATCAATATCTTGCAAGGTCTCCACATAGTATGATTGATCCACAACCAGACAACGGCCAAGAGTTGCATCATTCACAATCTCCAAATCTGTGCCAGCATGTCGATAAGCATTCAGTTTCACGCCGCCCCACTTGTAACGCTGATCAATGGACTGCTTGATCTGCTTCCAGGCAGCGCTGTTTTCATTGCCAGCGCGATGAAAGTCGTCCACATGGCCTGCCATGAAACCAAGAGGACGAGTGCAAACATCACCATTTTCATCCTTCACTTCTTCAGTCCACAGCCAGAAACATTTGTCACCCTTGATGCGGGTGCCACCAAGCTCAAGCATTGACTGGTTGACATTCTCCCAGAGATTGCGAGGAGCAGTTGTACTGCCGTAAAAGTTTTTGAGGATTCGCATGACACCACCTTCAGGGATTTGAAGTGCTTCTCTAATACTTCTTTCACCCCTGAAGTCCACAATCTCTTTTCCTCTTCAGTTGGAAGAGTTTGAAGGAAGGCTGTACTCATGTCAATGCCTTCTATGTTCCATCCCATTTGCATGACAAGCTGGTAGCTGAGGTTGCGAGTCAGCACCGCTTGCACAGGAGAACTGGTCTTATGAGCTTCGGTCAGCAGGTCGGGATGTTCATATCCCAGCAAAACGATTCTGGCTTTCGCCTTTCGGCGGGCATCAGCTGTCAAAGTGGTGCTATCAGGGCGTTCAGAAACTTCTTGTCGCGCTTCATCAACCGACTCTTCTGGTGTTGGTTTCCACGTCAACACCCAGCGGCAGCGCATCAATCTGCCAGAGTTCTTTGCTTCATTTTCTTCAGCTAGATCCAGGCATCTACGGACTGCAGCATTGGAGATGAAGGAGTTAACTTCCTTGGTCTTGGCACGGTCGAAGAGTTTGCGATGTTCAGGTTTCAGGCGAGTCAAACTGACTTCGCAATCTCGCATCTTTTGTGCCAAAAAGAGGCTTGGATGTTTGACAAACTGTTGTTTTTGGCGTTGAGAAGTCACATCCAACTCCACAGAAAGCATGTAGCACTCTTCCGCTTCCATAAAACAGTTGTAGAGTGCTTGTTCTTCATCTTCAACACGCTGTCTTTTGGATTCAGGCTCATTTGAGGGAGGTGGTTTGTCAGAAGAGGCTCTGGATTGTAGGAGAGGCTGTTGTTGAGAAAGGCCATCATCAGGAGCATCACTGTTACCACGGCCACTGCCTATGCCAGTGTTGCCAACTTCTTCATCGCTATCAGGAACGTATGTGGGATCACCATAGTCATTCAAGGGATCATCAGCTGGAGTAGAAGGTGATGGAACCACATCGTTTTCATCCAGTGCATTGTCAGGTGGCACTGGTGGCAATTCTTCCAAAATGGAAGGCATGGGCTCAGCAGGTGGTGGTAAAACTTGATGCCACTTGGGTCCGGACTTTGTGGTGTGTCGTGTCTTGGGCACATACTCAGGCATCTTCATGGTGTCAGCATCAGGTTGAAGTGGAAGATGTGGACCCTCTTCCTCGTTCTCGTCAGGCTCCTCGTTGGTGACATCGATGTAGGAACGATTTGGAATCATATCGGCTAGACTCTGCCATTGAGAAGGATCTTCAGGGTTGTGAAGTTCATATTCCAAACGTTCTTGTTCATTGACTTTTCGCACACTGTGAACTGAACATCGATGCATAGAACCACCAACGATGACCCAGACAATGTGCCTGCGCTCATCACCTTCATGTTGTCCATGGATGCCTTCATGAAACACCACACGTCCAGGACCAAGCCATTGAGGTCGGCTGATCTTTTTGAGACCGCCACGGGGACCACCATCAGCGGAGTATTTTCTCCAAATCTTCACTAAGTCCATGGGCTTGAAGACCTGGAGAGGTTGCCTGACCTTGCTGTTCTTGAGTTTCACCAAGACTCGTTGAGCATAAACTTGACGAGCCATCGCCTCAGCTTCGCGGCGATTCACCATCAGCTGCGTAAAGTCCAAATCAGCGGTTGATGGTGTCAGTTGAGCCATAGCACGCTCATCTTCATCATCCAAGGTGAACTTTTGGCCATAGACCCATTGGTACGGTGAAAATCCACGCACCGTTTCTGTTGAGTTCAAAGCCATGGCGGTCAAGGCCAGCACATTGTGAACAGACATCTCAGGATGAGACAAGGTCAGTTTGGAGGCAACCGTTTTGATCTCTTGGACACATCGCTCCATGATGCCGTGACTCCAACTCTCCTTCACGGGTGGCACTTCCAGTTGTATGCCCACATCAGAAAGAAAGGATCGCATCAGGTCACCTCTCATAGTGAGGGCATTGTCAGGCACCAAGATCTTCATTTTGGGTTTGTCTTTCAATCAGCACTGATAAAGTCCATCCAGTACTTCTTGGGCTGATTCAGTTTGTTGTTGGTTGATGCCGTACTCTCTCACCACGTGGATGACTTTGAAGTGCGTTGCAAAGTCCATGAACGCAAGAATCTTGTACTTCCTGTCAGAGTGTGGTGGATTCCATTCAAAGGCATCAAGTCCAACCATTTCCCAAGCTGAAGGTGTTGCTCTCAAGGAAGCTGGAGGGATCTTGCCACTTGAATGACCACCACGTTGAAGAGTATGGCAATCATCGCAGTGAAGTTTGAGAGCAGCTTCAACTTGCCACTTGGCTCGACCACTGTCCTTGACTATTCTGGCCAGGTTGTAGTTATTAGGATGGCCAGCAGCTTTGTGATATTTCAAAAGTTGAAGTTGCCAAGTGCGAAGATCTTGTGCTGAAGGTTGCTCATCTTGGAGCATCTGCGGCATCAAGTCCAACCGCAAGGTGTGCTCTTGCTCAGCCATGTTGAGGTGAAGAGGTAGTGGAGAGTGAAGTCGATGAAGCCACTTTTCAGGATAAAGTTCTCGGCGCCAGTGTTGTGCAATGGACTTGCACATCTTCCAAGGGTAGTAGGCACTGCGGCTGGTGTACAGTCCCTGCACATAGTCGTGGTCATTGTTGCCCACGCATGTTTTGTTGCGGTAGGTCTGGAAGAAACTGTTGGAGCTTGTGGCAATAGTCCATCGCTTCTGCAGCAAAAGTCCAAGCTGAGAGCGAAGTTCATACCTGCAACCATCGATTCGACCAAAAAGCCAATCACGGTCAAGTCGATGAAGTTCACGTTGCAGAGTTTCCAACCAGGGTTCTTTCCAGCCATAGCATCTTGTAGGCCATTCCCAGAACAGCTCAGTGTCAGGGTATGCAGTGAGCATCTCCAACAGGAAGGGTATGAGCAGCTTGAACATAGCTCGTTCTTTGCGCCGGAACTTCTCCAAGTTCTGCTTTTGCTCAATGGACCTGTATAGTTCAAAGAAGTCCATGGGCACCAATATGTGCATCTTGTTGAAACGCAGACACGTTTGGGTCTTTCACGGTGGAATCTTTCTCAAGGCTGGTATAAGTCATAGCCTTGGTGAAGGTTGATGCTTGACAGGCAGCGGTCAGCCAGCTGTCAGGTGCGCAAAAGAGCTCCCAGCAATCCACCCGTTCATCTCCACGTAGTAGACCTTGAAGTCCTACTTGAGCATGAAGCATCAGCATTGCCATCAAGGACGCTGCAGCACGGCCAATCTTCAAAGGTAGGCCACAAAACTTTGCAGAGCCACCAACCGTAGGATTCCCTTCTTCACGAAGACATTCCATATGTTGGTTGGGGTGGCGACATTGAATTAGTAGAGGCCGATGCAAGAGGCTTTTTATTTTGTTTTTGAGAATTTTTGGTAGTAGCAAAAGTCTTTTTGTTTTGTTTTTGGTGATTTTTGGAAGAGCTGCCAATCATCTTCGACTCAACAAAGTGCAAAAGCTCAAAGTCCCCAGCCAAAGACGCATCCTCAGGCTCATTGTTGTCCTGAGCATTCATCAAAGCAAAAGAGGAATTGCCGTGTTGTTGATCACATGGGAGGCTAACCATCTTCGTATCAGTCTCAACCAAACGACCACACCATCATGCATTGCAATTGCACCATCATCAGGCTTCAAGGATTGCTTGGAGGCATGTGTGCCTTCGGGTATGGGATCACTTCCACCTCGGAGTCGGGCGGAGACATGGGAAACACTTGAACTCGTTCTGCAGCAATCTCTCTCAGCCGGGCAATTTCGTCTCCGGTCAGCATTGACAGCAGACTCTGGGCCTCGTTCTGATCCTCCTCGCACAGCTGGGTCACAGGCGCGGCAAGGAGCAGCTGGAGGTGAGCTTTTAGGCTTTGGTGATGAGCCTCCATCAGGGTCAACTTGGCCTTGTGCGTCTCGATCGCCATTGAAGATTCCACCAGCCTGATGCAAGTCTTCACCATGCTGGCATTGGGCTTTTGGTCCTCGGTCAAGTGCTCCTTCAGCATCTTCAGGGCATTGGTGATGACCTCCGGGGCATTCTGGGTCATATACTTCGCTGGAGTACCTTGTCGAGGAATGTAGCTCATCCTCAGGCCACATGTTGCACAGTCCGACCAAGTGCCCGAAGCGTTGCCGCCATTGGTCTTGTGCTCGTGAGAGCCGTTGCAAGGCCATGTTGATTGGCTGCGAGGATGTCGAGGATCTGCCGGTAGAGCTCGGTCGTGCTCGAGAGGCAACGAAGGGCTCTTTGGAGCTGCCACGGACTTGCTCTTGGGACCCATGGGAAGCAGTCTCAAACTTCACAGTTTTCACTTGAGACTTCTCAGCTTTTGTTGTTGATGACAATTGTTTTCTGCGATCACAAAGAAACTGAAAACCCTGTGAAGGAGCTGCATGTTGAGAATCTGAAACTTGTGCATGAGAAACTGCCATCAACTCCATTGGACCCAATTCCAACCAAGACCAGGATCCCTGTCCTGAAGATTGAGGCGAAGCGCCATCCATGGTTGCCGCAAAGGTGTCAATGGCCTCAGCATCGGAGATCACACCACGCAGGTAGTACACCAGGTCAATCATGAAGTGACCCTTGGGCTTCTTGTGCAGGCAATAGGGTTCAGCTTCAGGTTCAGCACCATGTAGTGCAAATCCATCAGAAAAATCCAAAACCAAACCGATCTTTTGTAAATGATCCATGCCAAAAAGAATGGGTACCAGTTGTGAAGGTGAAGACCAACCGTAGACAAAACCATCGGGGTCAGGCAAAGTATACATCTCAAAAGTTCTTGAAGGATCTCTCGCAGAAACCAAAGTCAAGTGATATACTGATCGTCCCCATTGGCCAGAACCATACCTAAAATAAGGTCTTCGAGAATCATCCAAATGAACACCAGTTGGAGGGTCGATCTCACGCAACTTGGAAATCAGCAACTTTGCGGAGGACTCTGGTCCCGCTGAAGCCGTTGCACCACAATCCAACATACCAAACCCAAGGGGAACTGAACGTTGAGGACCCGTAGTTGAAGGTTGTGATGTTGAAAACAACTCTAATGGGAAAAGCTCCAAACAGTAGGCAGAATGGTAGTCATAGTCCATGACATAGGTATTCAAGGAGAGTTTGTACTTGCCCTTGAGTTCTTACCATATTTGCCCTTGCCCTTGAACATGCCATAGTTTTCATAGCTATCCCCATGCCAACCATCGTCCCAACTTACCACATGAAGACCCTTGGATTTGCCTTTGCCTTTGCCCTTCAACAAATACGCATCAAGTTCAGCTTGATAAATGTTTACCAACTCCTTTTCGGGGACCAGGGTGCAAACGATCAGGACAATCTCGAACATAATGGTTTCCCCCACAGTTGAAACATTTTCCCTTGCCTTTTCCAGAGTCATGCGCATGTTGGCCAAATCCACGGTCACGACGCAAGGAGGCTGTAGCTTGTTGAGCTTGAGACCAGGTGCGTCTTGCCTCATTGAACATTGCCTCAGCCGAACGCTCGGCATCCATCGCCTCTTTCAAGGCTGGGTCATCAGGATCCGGTTGATCCACTTCACCAACATCTCCACTTGGGCTTCCAGAATCATTCCAATGAGCAGCAAAGGCATCCCCTGTTGAGTAGTTTGAATCACCCCAATCAGGAGAATTCCATCCATCATCAAGCCAGTTGTATTGTTGCTCATAGTATGCACCCCCATCAGAAGGCCATGATTCAACCCAGTGGTTATGATGAAATGAAGAAGGAGAGGACATAGCCGGACTTTTCCCGCTACCAAGCTGTTCATCCCAAAGAACTTGAAGAGCGTCAGCAATGCTTTGATAGTCCAACTTGTTACCAGTAGAAGCAAGCACATCACGCCATTCATCAGAGCTCAAACATGCAGCTACAAGTAATCTCCAACCTCGCATCACATCCAAAATAAAACTGTCCATGGGGCTCAAAACATCATCAGCACCATGTGGTTTCCGGTGAGTGGCAACTTTTCGACTAGGGCTCTGTGTTGGTGAGCCATCCATGTTCTGTCGTCTTGCTTGTTCAGAAGGGCCAATCACTGGAGAACCTGGGTCAGATGTTTGAGGCACTTCGGCATATCCATCAGGCCGCTGAGAAGGACCTGCATCACCCTGCACGGGTTCACCATCATCTTCATCATCTCCATGAATCACACCACGCCATTCACCCCAACGACCATTCCACCAAGGTTCATGATCAGGAGCTCGGGCTTCAGAACTGCCAGCACTCAGTCCTGTCATTTCAGGGAGATCGAATTGCCGCTGTGATGGGTCCAATCCATCACGTTCCTCCTTCAATTGCAGCAAGGCTTCTTGAAACTCCTCGAACCCAAGAGCTTCGCGCACCAGAGACTGCGCAATCGGCTCATTGGGTCGCCTTCGAAAACTGAAATACTCACTCATTGTTGATGCAGCATTAGGCAGAGACCTCCGTACCAACGGAGAGGCAGCAAAACAACGTAGCATCTTTGAAACACCTTGTTCACCCATGAAGTCACGATTATGCCAACTCATAGACAAAAGTCTTGCAGCACCTGTCAATTGTGTAATCAGTTTCGCAGCAGCATACTGTCGTTGATTTGCTTTGGTTCCACTCATGAACCATGCCACTTCCTTGCAGTATCGTCTCCATGTTCGAGAGCTGCCATCCCATGAAGGGATATAACTGTCACTTTTCTCCTTGGAAAGCATCCCCAAAGTCACCAGTTCTGCAGAATGCCAGTGGAGCGCTGTTGGGCGGAGGCTTGCTGGAGCCAATGCGATTGGTAGCACTGGGGAGCGTTCCAAGCAAATTCCAGTCTCTCACAAAACTCAGCCAGGCGGTCAAAATGACCAAAGAAATGATGTTCCCTATCCTCAATCGAAATGTGATGCCGACTGCCGGCAAACTCAAGGCCAACACGACGGCCATTTTCCGATCACAGCGCCACGGTGGCTGCAAGGGGCCCCTTTGGGCATAGATGGCCGCGGCATGTGTGTGTGCGGATGGCGAACCTGACCAGTCTGCGGTCAGCGAACACCAGTCCCCTGTCACACAAATGCAAAGGACCTGGCAAGAACTCAAGAGCTGGACAAATGACCATGAAAATTCTCAGAATTGCAGGTACGCCTATTTTAGGAAACCCGCATATCGGGAAAATAAGGGCAGACACGTGAAAACGCGAAACAGCGATGAGTGCTATCCACAGATACAGCGCAGTATACAATCAACAAGACTAGTGCAACACATTGGTATACCTGTTTGCTTTCAAACTTTTGCTACGAATCCTACAAATTGGGGAAGATCAAGGGCTGTCCAGTGAGGGGGCTTGGTGTAGTGACATGTCTGAACATTATCCAATTCCTATGTGTTTTGCGGGTGCTAACCACGTGGGTTTCTCTATGTTGGGGGGGGAATTATGGCCAAACTCCATGCACCAGCTTGAACAGTAGGTAGGTAGCAGCCATGTATTTGACACTGCCATGAATTTCCTTGGAAGTCTAATGTACTTCCCGAATACCTGATCAAATGTCAGACACTGGTAGTCTTCAATGTCAGAGAAGCAGAGGATTGGCTACCCAATCTAATTTCATCGAATTTCCATGCACTTGTTGTACTGAATCAGTGCCGACAGGCGGATGGTTATTCACAGCTGGTCGACAGGGACAGATGGGACAGTGCTGCCGGGGTGATCCTTGTCGTCGGCAAAGCTATCTACAGAAATGGATCGAAATGCCTGGTGTATTTTGAAATGACCAACATGATGTCATGCATTAAATGTCAACTTTATTGGGCGATTGGGTTTGTGCTTTGAAGATCTTTGAGCCACTTACAGATCTAGTCTTCACTTGCCATTTATCCATTTGATCCCGATGGGATCACAAACAAGATTAGAGCTTACCCCCTCTCCTATATTGAAAACTTGAAGCAGCACAGACTTGCTGCAAGTTAAGTTGCAGAGTTTTTGCAGGAACAAACAAGTAAAAGCAAACAATTCTCTATGAACGGTTCTCAGATGGCCAATCTCGCTGGTGCTTGCTTGCCACCCCCAAAAAGACCCAAACAGTCTCAGCTTAGGCTTATCATTATCAAGTATGTTTCCAAACCTCAGCCAAGCCAACTTGTATAGTAAGGGATAATAAGGGATAGCAAGGGATAGTAAGGGATAGTACGGGATAGTAAGGGATAGTACGGGATAGTAGGGAATAGCAAGTGTATGTTCACTGTTCACAATTTCATAACACATCCACATATCTTCTCCCTTGGCCTCCACTTCCTTCCCTGGCGCCTTGGCGGCAGGAGGAGTTGACTGTGAAGAAGGGCGATGCCATGGCCTTCTGCGGGGTGCTGGGCTTCGGCATGCTGGCCTTCTATGCTGTGCAGCAGGTGCCGCCTGCGGGGGAGGATGGAGCAGAGTGATTTTGACACGTGTCTGAATGGTCACTGTGTTCTTATAACTTACACTTGGTATCTTAGAATTCATGGAATTTGTACTTTTTTTTGGTTGGGTTGGTGCAACGTTGTGCATGGACACATCGCTGAAACAGCCAATCTTGAATTGATGGCTCGAAGCAGGGGCTTTGCAGGTCACAGGAAGAAGTTGAAGCCAAGGCAGGATGGGCAATCAAGCCAGCCACTTCCTTCCTCCAGCTGGTGCTCAAATGGAAGACTCCCAATGGAATGGGCGTAACTGCTGTCCGACGGTCACTTCGAGCAATGCTGTGGCTGTGGGAACTGCCACCCTTTTGGCGCCTGCTGCCATTCCAGTCGGACTTGCATACTGGTACGGGAAAAAGCTCGCCACCGATCCCAATCCAGCCTGTGATCCTTTGTGTTTGCGACCCAAGCTCGAGAGGATGAGCAGATCCATTGATTCCCTGAAAGACCTCTATGATCGCGGGATGTTGATGAGCTACATGAAGGACAGCATTGCGTGCTTGGGGAGGCCGGGGCTCAGCGAACAGCAAGTACGTGAGCGCCCTGAGCTGCGCAGCGAGGAACTGTGCAAGATGCCAATCTTGTACAAGACCAAGACAGTGGGCTCAAAGGTCTACATCGCAAAAGAGGATATCCCTGCTTTCCTGCAGGATAATGGAATCCCTATGATGAATGCGGAGGAAGTGGGTGATCATCTCAAGTCCAAGTTGGCAGCATACTTTCCAATCTCCGAGTTTTCATGCGTTGGAAAATACAATATCCATGGGAAGGTTGTGGTGGGATCTCTTGGCTCTCCCAACAATATGGCAGGGCTCAAGCCTGGTGAGGCCAGGTACAAGATCAAAATCAATGAAGACTTTTCCAAGTACACGGCCGATCCTTTGGCATACGAAACGAAGCTGAAGGAATGCATCCTCCAAGCTTTGGGCTTGGATCACACCAAGATTCCAGGCGCCAAGAAACAGATCAAGGTTGAATATGCAAAAGAAGGTTGTGTTGAGATTGGTCTTTCGGTTTGTTTGGGGGTCCTCGCAGCTGCTGCGTTAGTCGTTTTCATAGCCTACTACCGGAACAGAGGTGGTGAGCCAAACCAGATGCAAGCTTTACATGCTTGCATCCAAGAGAGTCCTTCCGGTCCCCAAATTCCAGAGTCACAAGATGGAGGAAGTGTCTTCAGCTCACAGAGTCCTATGTCGCCTTCGAACAGCACGAGGCGACTTCTGCGCCATGTTGAATTCCGCAACCTTGGACATGATGATAATGATGGCTGGGAGCTCGTGGGGTATCTGCACGAGAGCACGAGATGCTATCTACCAGGGACCTTGTTCCGAACCCCACGCGGCGGGGTCATGACTGCCCGCCAGCTTCGTGAAGGTGATCAGGTTGCAGGGGTTGACAGAATCTTAGAAGTTGTGTGCAAGGAGGCTGCTAACTCGCACTTCAGATGGGTGGATGAACAGCTTGCTTTTTTTAAGTCTTCATTCTTATTTTGAAAAGTGGACCCGCCGATTTGCACCTTCATACCTGGACCATCCTGGACCTAGCCTTTCTGCCTCCGGGTCAGAAAAATGCCCCCAATTTACCACAGACATGCACCGACTAAGGTTTTGCAATCCAGGAGGCGCAGTCTTCAAACTTTGCGCACTGCCCAAGCTGAAATCACCGTGACATCTTCTCATCGTGTCGTCGTGTTTGAGAATGACCTTCGGTCTGAGCGCAGGGCCGGTGACTTGAGAGATGGAGACATCTTACTATGTGGAACACGGCGCCAGAGGCTGATGAGAGTGATTCCCCTTGAACGCAACACAGAGGCAGGATCGACTTGGTGCAGGTTGCCTCGCAACAGGGTTGTGGTTTAGGTCGATGACTTTGGAGGTCTTCTGAAGTCATTTCTGGTGGTTGGTGGTTTGATTTCCTTCATTTTCAAGCCCAGTTCTGGAAACTGCACCAATGGTTCTCAACACCATTGCACCAAGAACGGATACTGTGTATATATATATATAATATATATATATACCTGAAGCTGCATTACGGGTACTGCAGTAATCTATGTAATGTCGGATCTTGATAAGTGTAGGGGGTCCCCTCCTCAACAATTGAGGGGTCTCTTTAGGCTGGTAAATTTTGAGGGACCAGGTTTGGAATAGTTTTGACTCATGATCTCAAGTAATTAAAGATTTCAATTGATTTCACATTACTTTCAATTGATTTTCCTTTTACACCTTCAAGACATCACTTGATAAGAAAGCGGTTCAACTGATTTCAAATTACTTTCAATTGATTTTCCTTTTACACCTTCAAGAAATCACTTGATAAGAAAGCGGTTCAACTGATTTCAAATTACTTTCAATTGATTTTACTTTTACACCTTCAAGAAATCACTTGATAAGAAAGCGGTTCAACTGATTTCAAATTACTTTCAATTGATTTTCCTGTTACACCTTCAAGAAATCACTTGATAAGAAAGCGGTTCAACTGATTTCAATTTACTTTCAATTGATTTTCCTGTTACACCTTCAAGAAATCACTTGATAAGAAAGCGGTTCAGCTGATTTCAATTTACTTTCAATTGATTTTCCTTTTACACCTTAAAGAAATCACTTGATAAGAAAACGGTTCAACTGATTTCAAATTACTTTCAATTGATGTTCCTTTTAAACCTTCAAGAAAATCAATTGAAAAGAAAGGATGTCAATTGATTTCATTTTAAATTCAATGATGTTCCTTTTAAACCTAAATCTAAGGATGAGTAAGGAACGTCTACTTTCGAATCATTTTCCTTTTACACCTAGAGAAACGGCAAGATAAGTCAGGACTCCAATAGATATCCATCTATTTTAATTCATATCCTTGTGCACCTAAATCTACTGATAAGTAAGGACTTCGATAGATATCCATATACTTTCAATTCATTTTCCTTTATACAGGTGGACACATACTTAGAACACTTGGAAAACCCTCCTCCAAAATTTTGCAGGAGAACATTTCTAAGTGTGTGTTCAGGAAACAACACTTAGAACATCCCCCCAAAAAATCACTTAGAACCTCAGTTGTGCACATGGCGATGTTGTAAATGTTTGTCCACTATACTAAAAGTACTTGAACATGAAATTTTGCAATACCGTCCAAAACGCAGGTGAGTATAGGAATGGTTCAAACCAGCTATTTAAGCCTTGATGTGCGTAGAACAGAATGTGTGGGACAAACCATATTTTCAGTGATGACTCCAGTGTCAAACAACAATATATAATATATTATAACATTATATAATATTTTTATAATTATATATGTATATAACATACCAAAATCATTGCCCCTCAAAAATCTCAACTTTGGAAGAATTACTTTGGATGTTTCTCAACGAGTCGAAGAGTTTGGAAAACAGTTCAATGTGCATGAGAGAAGTATGTGAAGATAGGTGTTTTTTGAATTTCCAATCATGTCTCCTCAAGCGGAGAACCACTTAGAACATCAGACCACTTTTTGCCCATGTTTTTATGTGTTGATGTTCTAAATTGTGGATTCTTGATTTTTGATGTTCTAAGTGATACACTTAGAACATCCCCATCTTGATTTTCCTGATGTTCTAAGTGTGCGCCCTGTTGCGTTTGGAAAATGTTTGATGTTCTGAGTATGTGTCTATCTAAATATATATATATATATAACCAAAAAAAATCTAATGATCAGTAAATTTCGAGTTCATGTCAATCTACTTAGAACCCCCTTAGAAATATCATAGAAAAACCATAGAACTCCCATAGAGATGCCATAGAAATTCCATAGACATTACGTAGAGATTCCATAGAAATCCCATAGAAATCCCATAGGAACACCATGGAAATAACAACAACAACAACAGCAACAGCAACAACAACAACAACAACCACAACCACAACCACAACCACAAAAACCACAAAAACCACAAAAACCACAACAACCACAACAACCACAACAACCACAACAACCACACCACCACCACCACCATCACCATCACCATCATCACCAACAACAACAACAACGACGACGACGACGACAACAACAACAACAACAGCAACAGCAACAGCAACAGCAACAGCAACAAGAACAAGAACAAGAACAAGAACAAAAACAAAAAGGATCAACATCAACATACACATCCCATAGAAATCCCATAGACATCCCATAGAAACAACATAGGAACCCCATAGCAATCCCATAGAAATATCATAGAAAGTCACATAGAAATCCATTGGAAATCCCATAGAAATATCTCAGAACCACATAGAAATCCCATAGGAACACCATAGAAACCCCATAGAAGTTGCGTGGGGGTGCGATTGACATCCCATAGGAAACTCATAGAAACCCCATAGAAACACCATGGAACTACCATAGAAATTGCATAGAATTCCCATAGACATCGCATAGAAGATCTTATGAAAATCCCACAGACATCCCATAGAGAACTCATAGAAATCCCACAGCAATCCCATAGAAATCACATAAAAACCAAATAGAAACAACATAGGAAACATAGCAAACCCATAGAAATATCATAGAAACCAGGAACCACATAGAAATCCCATAGAACTTCCATAGAATTCCTTTGGAACCCCATAAAAATATCATAGAAACCACACAGAAATCGCATAGGAACACCGCAGAAATCCCATAGAAATCGCATATAGGAATGCGATAGACATCCCATAGGAAACTCATAAAGGCACCATAGAAACCCCATAGAGATTCCATAGAATTCCTGTAGAACCCCTATAGAAATATCATAGAAAGCACATAGAAATCCCATACAAAGCCAATTGAAACCCCATCGAAATCCTATAGAAACACCCATACAACCCCCATAGAAACACCAGGAGAGGATGCCAGGAGAATGAAACCAAGTAAGAAAAGCTATAGGGAAGGAACGGATAAACGGATTTATGAAAAAAAGTAACCTAAGAAAAAGTTGGACACAATAGAAGACCCCACCAACAAACATTTTCTTGAAGATCTGAGTTGCTCATGGGCTACCCCCTTGAATAATTGTTTGGGTGACATTTTTTGATTGGGTTTTTAATAAGGAATTCAATATGTTGGTGGAATTCGATAGACAGTAACTAGGTTTTTTCTTGAACCAAGAACAAACACTCCGAAAAACATCCAAAACATAACATCCTGAACAACAATTGGCCTGGACAAAATCTTGACACAATACCGACCCACCGCACTAGTCAAGATACAACATTAAAATATTACTAGATGATATGTCATATTTTGTTCTACTTATTGTGTTTCGATTGAGTGTTGGCTGCAACCCGCTAAACCTGCAGGTCATAGAGTTGGGTTTCTTCCCTGAGCCGGTGGAGACATTCCAGGCTCCGCATTTTGGAGTCGCAACCTTGGGACACAGCTCGCCCGCGAAGCGCCTGATGCTTAGATGGAGGAGTTTTCTAAACAGGTTGCAGTGGTTGCGTGTGGCTGCCAATCATTGTTTTATGATATGTTTGCGCGCCGTCAGGCACCGACATTCTTGCCAATAGTTTGATCAAGTGTGGCAGCTCATGTCCACCTCCAACCAAAGCTGCAGTGGGTAGGGATTTGATCATTTCAGCGGTGAATGTGCAGAACGTCATGTTCCCTCAGACGTCTCTCATTGCACTAGCTGAATGATCAGCATGCCTCCCTATTTGCAGCTTTAGCTCGTTTCGACAGGCGTGACTGGTCCACCCAGGCTATGAGTGTGAAATGGAGAACGAAAGGGTTGTTTGATATCCCATTAACGCATTGCATCAATGTTGTATCATACGTTGTATCTTTGACATTTTCTCTTAGCCATTGCCGGAAAGATGATGAAAGATGCATCAGTCCTTGATGCGCGGCTGATGCTGTTCTTGCATGTTCTTGCAACTTCAGACATTGTGCTCGCTGAGTCCTTATCTATCATCACAGAAAGGCAGCCCTAAGAAACTCATCAATGAAAGAATTTTGTTTACATTGTACAGTACATGTACTGTACATTGAAACTGCCACGTCTGACGTAGTGATCTTATGTGATCTCTCCAAATAGGGCACCAAGATACTGTTGGGTCAGATAAGTCACATAAGTGTATATAAGTGTCACAAGCAATGCATCATTGCAGTAGACAGGTTCGTTGGGTGTACGGTTTGTTTGGGAGCGCCAAATTTGAGAACAACAGTTGGTTTACACCTTTGCAAGGACAGCCGGACAGCCCTAGATGCAGCGGCTAGTAGACGCTAATTCAGTGCATCCGATCCTGCGCTGGCAACAGTAACTGAACTTGTGCTCGGGCTGTGTGCTTCCGTTTTTTTCAAGGTTAAATAAGTTCTGCTCAATCCTTGAGCGCCTCAAGACTTCCTTCACACAGCATAAGTTTTGAAGCGATGCCTGAGTCGAGGGAACTATTGACATTTCTTTTTTAGATAAGCATCTCTGAATTCGCCTGCGTTACAAAAGATAATGAGGCAGTTGGTTGGAGACATGGGTTCATGCTACTGACCCGCACAAATGTAACTTGATTTGAATGCCGTCATGCACTGATATCGACGTAGCAACCGCCTCCAACCAAAGCTGCAGTGGGTAGGGATTTGATCATTTCAGCGGTGAATGTGCAGAACGTCATGTTCCCTCAGACGTCTCTCATTGCACTAGCTGAATGATCAGCATGCCCTATCTGCAGCTTTAGCTCGTTTCAACAGGCGTGACTGGTCCTCCCAGGCTATGAGTGTGAAATGGAGAACGAAAGGGTTGTTTGATATCCCATTAACGCATTGCATCAATGTTGTATCATACGTTGTATCTTTGACATTTTCTCTTAGCCATTGCCGGAAAGATGATGAAAGATGCATCAGTCCTTGATGCGCGGCTGATGCTGTTCTTGCATGTTCTTGCAACTTCAGACATTGTGCTCGCTGAGTCCTTATCTATCATCACAGAAAGGCAGCCCTAAGAAACTCATCAATGAAAGAATTTTGTTTACATTGTACAGTACATGTACTGTACATTGAAACTGCCACGTCTGACGTAGTGATCTTATGTGATCTCTCCAAATAGGGCACCAAGATACTGTTGGGTCAGATAAGTCACATAAGTGTATATAAGTGTCACAAGCAATGCATCATTGCAGTAGACAGGTTCGTTGGGTGTACGGTTTGTTTGGGAGCGCCAAATTTGAGAACAACAGTTGGTTTACACCTTTGCAAGGACAGCCGGACAGCCCTAGATGCAGCGGCTAGTAGACGCTAATTCAGTGCATCCGATCCTGCGCTGGCAACAGTAACTGAACTTGTGCTCGGGCTGTGTGCTTCCGTTTTTTTCAAGGTTAAATAAGTTCTGCTCAATCCTTGAGCGCCTCAAGACTTCCTTCACACAGCATAAGTTTTGAAGCGATGCCTGAGTCGAGGGAACTATTGACATTTCTTTTTTAGATAAGCATCTCTGAATTCGCCTGCGTTACAAAAGATAATGAGGCAGTTGGTTGGAGACATGGGTTCATGCTACTGACCCGCACAAATGTAACTTGATTTGAATGCCGTCATGCACTGATATCGACGTAGCAACCGCCTCCAACCACAGCTGCAGTGGGTAGGGATTTGATCATTTCAGCGGTGAATGTGCAGAACGTCATGTTCCCTCAGACGTCTCTCATTGCACTAGCTGAATGATCAGCATGCCTCCCTATTTGCAGCTTTAGCTCGTTTCGACAGGCGTGACTGGTCCACCCAGGCTATGAGTGTGAAATGGAGAACGAAAGGGTTGTTTGATATCCCATTAACGCATTGCATCAATGTTGTATCATACGTTGTATCTTTGATATTTTCTCTTAGCCATTGCCGGAAAGATGATGAAAGATGCATCAGTCCTTGATGCGCGGCTGATGCTGTTCTTGCATGTTCTTGCAACTTCAGACATTGTGCTCGCTGAGTCCTTATCTATCATCACAGAAAGGCAGCCCTAAGAAACTCATCAATGAAAGAATTTTGTTTACATTGTACAGTACATGTACTGTACATTGAAACTGCCACGTCTGACGTAGTGATCTCATGTGATCTCTCCAAATAGGGCACCAAGATACTGTTGGGTCAGATAAGTCATATAAGTGTATATAAGTGTCACAAGCAATGCATCATTGCAGTAGACAGGTTCGTTGGGTGTACGGTTTGTTTGGGAGCGCCAAATTTGAGAACAACAGTTGGTTTACACCTTTGCAAGGACAGCCGGACAGCCCTAGATGCAGCGGCTAGTAGACGCTAATTCAGTGCATCCGATCCTGCGCTGGCAACAGTAACTGAACTTGTGCTCGGGCTGTGTGCTTCCGTTTTTTTCAAGGTTAAATAAGTTCTTCTCAATCCTTGAGCGCCTCAAGACTTCCTTCACACAGCATAAGTTTTGAAGCGATGCCTGAGTCGAGGGAACTATTGACATTTCTTTTTTAGATAAGCATCTCTGAATTCGCCTGCGTTACAAAAGATAATGAGGCAGTTGGTTGGAGACATGGGTTCATGCTACTGACCCGCACAAATGTAACTTGATTTGAACCAGCGGTGGCTACATTGACACATGCCGTCATGCACTGATATCGACGTAGCAACCGCCTCCAACCACAGCTGCAGTGGGTAGGGATTTGATCATTTCAGCGGTGAATGCGCAGAACGTCATGTTCCCTCAGACGTCTCTCATTGCACTAGCTGAATGATCAGCATGCCTCCCTATTTGCAGCTTTAGCTCGTTTCGACAGGCGTGACTGGTCCACCCAGGCTATGAGTGCGAAATGGAGAACGAAAGGGTTGTTTGATATCCCATTAACGCATTGCATCAATGTTGTATCATACGTTGTATCTTTGATATTTTCTCTTAGCCATTGCCGGAAAGATGCATCAGTCCTTGATGCGCAGCTGATGCTGTTCTTGCATGTTCTTGCAACTTCAGACATTGTGCTCGCTGAGTCCTTATCTATCATCACAGAAAGGCAGCCCTAAGAAACTCATCAATGAAAGAATTTTGTTTACATTGTACAGTACATGTGCTGTACATTGAAACTGCCACGTCTGACGTAGTGATCTTATGTGATCTCTCCAAATAGGCCACCAAGATATCATTGGTCACATAAGTGTATATAAGTGTCACAAGCAATGCAAATTGCAGTAGACAGGTTCGTTGGGTGTACGGTTTGTTTGGGAGCGCCAAATTTGAGAACAACAGTTGGTTTACACCTTTGCAAGGACAGCCGGACAGCCCTAGATGCAGCGGCTAGTAGACGCTAATTCAGTGCATCCGATCCTGCGCTGGCAACAGTGACTGGACTTGTGCTCATGCCGTGGCTTAGGACAGGGGAACGTGGTTCGCAAGGTAGTTCTTGTAATGTTTCTATTAAAAGTTTTCTTCCATCCATGCAAAATAGCTTAGAAGCAGGTTGGACACAGCTGTTGATGGAATATGATGATGGATATGGTTGGAATTATTTGCCCATCTTTGTCACCTGGCACGAGCTTTGAACGGATGCCTGGATCGAGTCAATGGACTCCCTTCTCGGCCAGCATCGCCGCAGTCGCCTGTGCTGCAAAAGAATGTGAGGCACGTGCAGTTTGCAGCTTGGATTGATTGGATCCTTGGGTGGTTACTGTACCTGAAAGTTGAAAATTGTAGAAAGTTGAGAGGTTATGGTAGCTGGCACAGATGTGATCAGGACATCCATGTGCCTCACAGAGAGGATGAATTTTTGCCAAACCGCTCCGTTTATCATCCCTTCAATTGACAGAATAGACCTTGAACTTTGAACATCACCGATTTTGGGTGGAGCGTAGTCTTCAAACCTCCTGTTTGGCAGGGTCTATGTTAGTTTAAGGGAGAGCAACGCTTTTGATCAACAGCCTTTTCTATGATCGAGTATTTCTTGCTATCACTTCGCCTTGCCAGGGCTTGATCCCCGAGCTGCGCACTCGCACTTGGCGACTGCTGAGTGGCACGGGATCGCTGTTCATCACCGTGTTGCTGTTCATGGCCATGAAGAAGTGCCTGGAACTACCGGGGGAGCGGAGGTGGTGAGTGGTGGGATAAGTCATTCGCGGCATTAGCGAGCCATTGGTTTACGAATAAAGTGAGTGAAATGATGTGAATAAAGTGAGTGAAATTTTCATGTCTTTTGCTGTTTGGTAGAGGGTTGGCAAAATAAATGAGGCGAAACATCGGGTTTGTCCAAATTTGCAGTTTCATTCAAGGATTATCAATATATACTCTAGCTGGGAGATGCTGGGAGGGTTTGCGTATATTTTTTGCAATGGACTTGCATCAACCATGCAGGGGCTGAGAAAGATTACTTGAAGTAACTCAATGTAGCGGCGGGAAGGGTGCAAAGGATGCGTTAAGCTCTTGGTGATCTGCTCCACATTTCAATCTCCCCCTTGTGACTTGCGTTACTTGCATTAAATCCATTTCAGCCACTTATATACTAATTATATCAAATGATCTTAGATGCCATATAGCATCCATTTCGTTGGGTACATATATGCCATCCAGTTCGGACTGATACCACTGCTAGCCATCCATTATGTGTTTTCTGTTTTCCTGGAGGTGACTGCCTGACTGTTCCGCCACTACTGTATGCATGAGGTCCTGGAAGCTGTGCGCGGGTGCATCAACGCAAGAGAGCAGCTTGGCGAGGCGTTGATGGCATGAGTCGATGATGTTATCCAGAGATTTTAGGGGTACCCCCAACCCCTGCGTGAGCAAGGGGCTTAGTCCCTATGAGGCCCTGTTAGTCAGAGGGTGACCTTGGGGGGCACCCTCTAACTTCCATGATCTGGCCAATGCACCATTCGGAAAATCTCGTGGGGTGAAAGGATATCGGGGAAGCACCCTGGACCCTGAACCAGTGGCAAAATTCATCATTCGTTGCCCTTTGGAAGTCCACGCTGACAATGAACAAAATCAATCATATAGATGAAATGGTCATTGAAAATTGCAGTTTTGTTGAGAGACAGTCAACGGAGGTTTTCCTGTCTTGATATGTCTTATTTCTTTTGCACAGTTTTTGACTCAAGAGTGGGGGCAAACCCACCTAGCTTTTGCAACAATTTGACACAGTTCAACACTATTCCAAAGACCTGATCCACGGGAACACCATGTTAGCGGCTCATATGGAAATTTGAGGTAGACTCTATGCGGATATCTTCAGCTGTGTGAGATTCTTGATCCTCCTGACTCCTGGCTGAGACGCAAAAGCCGCCATGAGGGCCGTCTGGACAGGTTGTAGTTGTCAGGATGCACGGTCAACGGAAGGTTCACCCACTGCAACTAAGTGACATGGGGCTATCACCATGCAGCACTGAAAGGTATCTTGTCAAAAAAATGAAACTCCCCAGCTAATCAGTCTCAATACCGGGAAGGGAAGCGTCACGGTGAGTCTATTGCAACATTGTATCATCTGGTATTGTTGAACACATGGATGAGATTGAACGAGACATTGAAGGATCCCAGCTGATCAGACATTCATATCAAACTCATACCCCCAAATGTGTCAGCGTCGCTGTGTTCAAAATGTTGCATCCTTGATTGGGATCACCATGCACGAATCAAAATATGTTTCAGCAATTCACGATCCTGATTATAGATGGAGTCATTGTCCATTTGAAGGTTCCAACCCTCCAAGCCAGGATTCACAACTGCGTTTCAGGATCCGAATGAAATAGAATAACCACAACATCACCCAAGTGCCTCCAAACCAGACCAACTTGAGGTTCGGTGTACCAGCGCTTCTGCGGTGGCGGGATAATGCTGCATTGCGAATTCTGGGCACTCACTTAATAGGTTTCTTGGTTGCCAATTCCTTCCGAGCAACCGATGGTACATTCCTGCAGAGGTTGGGTTCCTATTTCTTTTGGCTGAGTTATCACCTTGGACGGGCTGAAGTGTACCTCACTGTCCCATATATTACTGTATTGTTTTGCGAGCTTTGCACCGGCGCTCAAACATAGGTTTATCATGGATTGATCATGGATTCATCAACATGTTCATACATTTTCCCTGGTTTGACATTGCCATTTTGGACCTTTTTGGGCCAACCAAGGGCTCCCCGACATTCCCCAACAAAGGTTTGGTCAACAGGCCACTCGAACCCCTCGAGGTTTCGCCGGTGCGGACGCCTTTGCAGATGTCCTGCGAAGAGATCCCTTCGCGCTCCATGCAGGGTACTACTTGCTGGGTGTGCCCTGGTGGCATTGCCTCAGGGGGGGGCCATGGTAACCTGATGCCAAACAAATGAGAGCAACATGGGGCGATTTTGAGTTGACAACTCAACTCATTTTATGGGTGTATATTTTTGCAAAAATAGATGATAAATGGAGACGAAGAAGATGAAGAAGATGAACACCACGAGGTGAAACGTATGGTTTTGGCGCGTGTCTTGAGATTGGAACCTAAAATTGCGCTGCAAGCGTTTGCGCACACTAATTCAGCGAGAGGATATTTTTTGGTATGCGAGCAACATCCATGTTGGAAGACCATCCCTTTGACACATTTCGACGGAGTCCCTGCACACAACGAACTGCGATTGCGATGGGACGTGGAGATGAACTCGTTCGTGGTTTGATGTCTTGCTGTTAAGTCCAGCTCCACAAACCGGATAACCTCCATTGAACCATGTTGTTAATACTTTTTTAAAAGGGTTGAACCACCAACCAGTGAAGATTCTTGACCAGAACAAAGACCCTCCACAACTATCCAATTGTCCACAACTAGCTGCAACTAGTAATCTCATCCACAACCAATATATTAATATAATCATTCTTATGATGATAGTTTATAATCTATAGACCCCCCCGGGGGGCCTGAGTCTCTGAGTACGTCCCAACTGGATCTTTCAGGTCATCTCCATGGTTCTACTGCGACTTGGATCATCTGATCTCAAGAGATTGACAATAAAAAATCTGGAAAATCATTGCCATAGCTATTTCTAATATGGACATGTTGGTATTGGGATGTTTGGCCCCTCAAAATGCTAAGAATTGGCGGGTCAAGCCGCTGGGTGCCAGAATACCAGCAGTGATACCGCACAGGTGGTGTTGCACCCACCTTGTTTTGTGTGGCTAGCGTTCAAGACTTGAGACGCCGACAACATCCCCATGCATCTTGGGTCATCAAACTTCTGAGGCTCTTCATTCTTGAGGCACATCAGCTTACATAAAGAAAAGTACGTGGTAGTTGTATCGCCAAGATCATTTAACCACTCAGATCCTAGTGTTTTGTGTTTTTCCGAACCCGCGATGGTTCAATGATCTCGCACGTTTGGGTGCAACTCACCAAAAATTTACCGATGGCCACTGAGGCTTCTGTGTTTGCTGTTTACCTGCAAGAAATTGAGGCAGGCTATCCACTTCAAAGCACAGATTGGCATGTCCGAAGCTCTATGCGGCCCTATCAACCAGGTCCGGACAACTTCCAACGACCTGAAATGACCTCATGAATTGTGTTTGATATGTGGTAGCCCATTATTGGGATGTATCGTCACCTACCTGGTCCCTTCATCATTTACCAACCATCCCAAAACTTGCCAGGGGCGCATGGCAAGAGTATGATGAGAGCAAGGAGCGGCAGGAACACGAGGCATCAGCCTGCAGTGGTATCAGTTGTGTAAATGGCTATTGGGCGATGGGTCCAAAATGGGGTACCAATAGACCCACCAAATTGGTCATTAGTAATTTCTAGTACTGAAGTCTCATAGATTCTCCACTTTTGGAGATTTTTATGTTTGCCCCATGTATATATATATAATTATAAATATATATATATATATGTGTGTGTTACTTGTTGTTACTTGTTTGCACTTGTTGCTCCACCCCAGCCCAGCCGACATTCAACGTCAAGAACTGGTTTCAGTGGATTTGTGGCTCAACAGTTGGCTGTAACATCCACCACAACTTGGGGAAAGCACCGCGATCTCTGTCCCAATTATACAGCTGATACAACAACAAACACAACTCTCACATGTTCCTACACATCAAATGCATATGGTGTGTACAACCACTGGAATACACCAGCCTATGATACTCACATGAAGCATAGAATCATTCTTTTGACATGTGTAAAGACATGTTTTGCGATGTTTGCATGTCAACATATGTCATTCCAAGTCATTGCCAGATCATATTGCACTTGCCCAAAGACGCACCGGTGTTATTCCTTGGTTATAGCATGTTATAGCTTCATGTCCCGAGGATGTTTCACGATGGAAGATTAACCACCTGCCACAAAACCTAGATGATCAGCACCTCATTACCCACAGCCAGCTGAACGAAGGCCACTGGTTTCATCATTGGCTTCCTCATCTCCATGCGACTTGGCGAATCAGGTGGACAGATATGGCAAAATCCCAAATATCCCAAAATACACCAAATGTCTTCATCCTGCCTCGTGTTCGTGTTTGTTTCTGTTGTTGTTGTTGTTGTTGTTCAACAACATCAAAGCAGGGCTTTTGGGTTTAACATATCAGTTTATAAATCCGTGCAAGCCAGTGAAAGCTCAAAGCAGGTGGTTTTAATAATACACCACTCCAACAATTTGCACGTTGTTTTGACAATAAGAAGCAAGTGGGTTGCTGCAGTCCCCCACTCAACTACCATTCAATCCTGAGGCATGTTAAGTGATTGAATATGTTTTATTGGTGAAATCCAAATCTTCAACGGTTAAATCTCCATTTAGGTGTGTCCGAACTTGTTATTCCAAATCACTTTGCTTTCATATTCCCCATGACATGTATTAAACCCATCCCCCTATTAAACACCCCTAAACGGTCCCAAATATGTGTAAATGTCCTACTAAACCATGGTTCCTGAAAGGTGTTTAATATGAGCAGGGGATGGGGTAATATGGCCCTATTTAGATTTTCTATTCTTATGGACCTATAATATGGCCCATATTTTAGTTATATAGTAGTGAAAAATGGACCTATAACATGGCCCTATTATCTAATACGAATGTCCGAGTTTTCCCAGTGATTTGTGCTTCAAGGTTTGTGCGTTTCGCCATCACCGGGTCTTTGCCTGGCAGTCAATGTCCCCAGGGGATGCGGGGTCAGGTGGCTAATGTACAAATGTCTCAACAAAAACCGGGGAAAACACCAAAACTTCATGGTTTGTGTCATATAATCATCATACTGTAATTTTCTGAAGTAATTCAAATTGCAGATTTGTGGGGTGTATTCCCCATTGGATTGGGAGAAACCCATGGAGCCGAGGCAAAAAAGCGGGCGGCATCAGATTGACACACTTGAGCCTTGGTGGTCTTGGTGGTCTTGGCGCAGTGGGACTTCATCCAACGTTGGGGCTGTAATGGGATAGTAATGATGGAGAGCTATATGGGCAAGTTATAAAGCGACCTTGCAATGACCTCACGGCATAGAGGGTCTAAGTATACAGACAGTATAATACACATACCAATATGTTCCTTTCCGCGCAGCAAGAGTTGCCTCAATTTCCATTTGCTCAATGTTCATAGCTCAGGATCTGGATGATGGCGGCTGCTTGGATTCAGGTTTGATTTAATAGTGAAATCCAACCAGTTGTTTTTTTTCGGAAGAGTTTGCAGTACAAGCCCATTTTTGTGGGATCGTAATTTGCTTCCGTAGTTCTAGTTTTTGTTTCTTGTTAATTTGTTTGTTTCCGTGCTATAGTTATAGGTTGAAAGCAGAAGCCCCAGGGTGTCACTGTCACTTCTTTACCCTTGGGTGAGCAAAGGTGACTGGAACCTCAATGAAACTCTACGTCATGACGTAGCTTGCCTGATTTGCCTGGCAGCTGAGGGCCAATAGTGGGTCTATTGGTTTATTTTTCTGAAGAAACGCCATTTATCAATTCCAAGAAATATAGTTAGAGAGGTAGAGCTGAACGGACCAATCAGCCTTGATGGGAATAAAGGACGGGGCGCTGCTTGTCCTGTGCAGTTCACGTAGAACACTACAATGAAATCCATGCAGCATAAGGAGATTGGGACCGGGCCCAGACAATTCAAAACCCCGCAGAAGTCATTATAATGCAATAATCCATCCAACATAATGGGTATGGACTAAAACCTATGATATTCTCCAGCAATCAAGCATGGCTGGCTTTTCTCTGAGGTCATTTCTGAGCCGTGCACTCAGTCGAGCCATCGGTTGCGTCCCCCAGGAAAAACATGGGTTTGTTTGAACATAGGGTGCCTATTAAGTGCCTATGAGTAACCCCCAAATCCCATGGTTTTATCATGATTTTTGTCAAAGCTTCGGCTGGAAACATAGCGCACTCTCGGATTGTATTCAATGACAGGCTTAGACTTTTTGCGCTGGACAAAAACTGTACTTTGAATCCAATAAGACTTTCTTGCGATACCTGGTACCTGCCTGGTACCTTGTGAAAATGTATCTGGCGCATGAAACCATACAGTAGATGGACTGTGTGGTTTGATTCCTGCACAGCCAAGTTACAATTGGACCACCACAAGAGCCAGATCATCAAAAAACATGGTAAAACAGTGATATTAAGTGATATTATTCTGCTGTAATTTTGAATGAGATGGATGAGCATGTGAATTTCCAAGAAATCCACCAGAGCACCAAAGCTTTCACCCTAGGTGCGAAGGTCAACGCAGCAGAGCGGTCAGTGTGGTTTCAACGTGCCATGGCACTGGGCGCTAAACAGTGGGTGTCGCCGTAAAACCGGAGTTCCCCAACAATCAACACTGTCTATACTTCATTTCATAGAGAAGCTGTCTTGAGTATGGCACGGCATTCCTAAGATTGTGGGCACCCAAATTGTACTGAAGAAGACGCACATCTGCAGTTTAATTACGTAGTTTGTCTCAAGTTTCGAGCCACCGTCATTTTCCAAATCATTGTTGCTTCACGTCAGAATGGGCACTCACACGTTTGAGATAGATTGCCCCAATACTTGTTTGTTTCTTCCAAGTGGGTTGAGACACCTCGAGTTGTAGTATTTGAGAATATGATCTGGCTTGACGGACATTTATTGGGTGTGTTGATACGAGCATCCTATTTAGATTTTTCATGGTTTGTTATCTTGATCTGTTGATTGATTCATTGTAATGTCAACCCTGGATTAATAAACCCCTAGGCTGATTAATTGTGAGGGTACCATTTAAGTATACAGTATATTTAAGTATCAGACTATGACTATTGGAGGAGTACCCCCGTAATTAATAAACCATGCTTAATAAAACCATGGTTTATTAATCCGGGGTTGACATTATCCATGATCTTTTGCGGGCTGCACATGAACATTAGGTGGTCTTCCAGGATTTGAATCTTGGTAGTGCAACATCCAGGTAGCTTGAAGATCGGCAAAGAGTCCTGCGCGATGACCATGGCCTGGATGATTTTCTATTTTGTGTGCCTTGGATCGATGGGAACTGCAGTGACAAGGAATTTTACCCAGACAAATGGAGATGTCACCTGCACATGCGGGGGTTCATCACTAGATTTCACCAACGAAAATGGGAATGCAATTTCAGGGGAAGCATTATTTCACCCATCCATCTCTTGCGTAGCTCTTGGGTCATCAGGCAATGGTTCTTTTGGCACATCTATGCAGTGGATCTCACCGTCGAGGCTCGATGCAGAAGCTGGCAGGGATGGGAGAGATCTCAGTATTGTAAATGTGTTTCATCTATAATGCCCAGCTACAAGGGACAAGCTTGCCAGTCAACGGATGATGCGACATAGATTCCAGTCCAAGGCTTACCGATGACTTTTCTTACGACCTGCAGGACCTAATCAGACGCTTTCCAGCAAACCTCATGTCACATGAAAGCCTGCGATTGGGCAGGCTGGAAAGTACAGCACCGCCTTGAGTGTTGCGGCGAGGGTGCCCAGCTGGTAGGGCCAAACGTCAAGTGCGGGAGAGCCAAACGATAGGAGTCCTCCACCAAGATAAACTCCTCAAATGGTAGAGTTTGAGGTCTCATGTTTTGTTGATCTATGTTGATCTTGATCTATTGAGACATGTTATGAGACCCTTGACCTAGAGATACATATATAACATATATACGTAGTTGTATGATGTTGTATGCTCAATTTTATCTTGTATCTTTCCTGGGCAAAATAATCACCACCCAACCCAGACACAGCCACTTCTTGGGTCACATTGATTGCACCGTGAGGTGACGCTTTCTGGGCTGGTCATGCTGACATTGTTGGTGGCCACCTTTGTGCGGAAACCCATGGCTGTGGGATGTTGGAAGACGGTGGAAGATTGACAGCCAAATGTCTTCCATAAAGAGACCTTTACCAGCAATAGATGGGGGTAATATATGGGATATACATCCTTTTTTTTGTTTTACTCAATTTTGATCCAGCAGGTCTGTTCCTGAGTAACCACAAATTAATCGGTTCGCAGGTAGCCCAAAAGCTGGGAAGAAGCACTCTGAGTTTCTTGGATAGCACAGCAGAGTGCTGTTTCTGTGAGGATTTGGCAGGTAAGTAGGAAAACATATAATATGGGAATTGGTCAATATCTATGGTTTTGAGGGGGATGATGGTATCAGGCGGTGTTTTACCAATAGCAATTTGGGTAGATGGACTGTTGCATAGGAAGCCAACAATTGCCCAGCTGCACCGGTTTCCTGCGCCAAATCAGAGGAATATTGATGTATGCTGTATCCTGTATCCCAGTTACAAATGGCTTGGCTTGACACCACTTACTCCAGCCATGGCAATGTGCTGTCCATTACACTTACTACATTTACTACGAGCTGGCTCTGCAATGGGCCAATGGGAATTTCAGGACCCTAACTGGTTGGTGGTTTGGAACATTTTTTATTTTTCCCATCATATTGGGAACAATAGTCCCAACTGACTAATATTTTTCAGAGGGGTAGGTCAACCACCAACCAGATTATTATTAACCATCATTAACCATCATCATAACCATATATATATTAACCATATATTAACAGGATATTAACCACAATGGTAGGTAGGTATACCACCAACCAGCTAAAATAGAGCTTCTCTCTACCAACTTTGAAGCCATAGAAACGGAGAAAAAAAAACCCATGGATTCCCCGAGAAAAATCGGTGCAGCCGCGAGGTCTCACGGAGCTGGACGACGTCTTCTCGCTCCAAACGGGTTTCGCTTGGGTGCGCCCATGCGGCTTGGTCTCAGCCCATGATAAAATGACAATGAATAAATGAATAAGATGTATTATGTTATGATTTATTATGTATTTGATAGTATTTGATAATTTGATATGCAGTTATGACATGAATTACTATGAACAAATTTATGATACTGCCTAGTTATACAGTATACAGAACGCATACACACTGCAGTATAGAATTCCTCCCCATTCAACCAGTTCCAATGTTTTTTTCCTCGCCAGGAGATGGCCTTCTATGCCGTGAGTGTCTCAGGCGTCACTTCAGGCGCGCAGGCAGCTGATTTGGATGTGCATCACAGTTCGGTAGGTAGATAGGTATAGGATGGTATAGGTAGTTTGTAAGTTGTTTACAAGCAATTTATGTATCGTCATCCTACAAAAACATAGTGTATTGTGATATTTAGTAACAGATAGTTAATTACAGAAGGCATTAATTAATCATAATAGTTGAGGACATTCCATATAGCTTACAATATTCCATTAATTAATATTCCACATTCCATATTAATTGCATATTAATAGTTGAGGATTTTTTATTTCAATATGATGATCACAGAACTTGCTGGGCTTGCTGGGATGCATCCCCAAGATCCATTGCTCGGGACAGTCATGGATTCATGGATTGAAGTTGTTTGGATTAATCGGGGTTTAGTCATGTTGAGTCAGATTTGCAAAGCTGTGAGCCATGTCAACTTCTGTTTTTTGCTCGGTTTCGCCATGACAAGGACAGGAAGAGTATGTAATGGTAGATAATGGTAGAGGTTTCCATGAATTGAGTTCAAGTGAGTCCAGCATATCTCAACATATCTATCCATCCCATCACCCTTTGCAGAGTCCTGCCTCCCGACAAGGTATTGAAGATGCAACTGCCAAAGCCTTGAGCGGAGTTATGTGCCTCTGACAAGTTAGTGAGCAATGGTTGATTTTCCAGGGCTGGATTGAACACCTCGTTTAGGTGTTCCAGAAGTTCAACAGATGTTTGTTCACATTTTTTTTGCTAATGTCATTCAA